TAATCTTCATAAATGATATCATAGGTAGGACTGGTGGGGGTTATGTTGCAGATGCAGCTAACAAAAACATATGGAAATGTCTGCTCTACCCAAAATTACAACCAAATAATTGCAGCATTACCGCAGAAATGGAAGAGGAAAGTGGAAGGGGGAAAAAGCAAGGAACTTGTCTGTCGGCCCTGCATTAAAGAACATGATTGGTTAAAGAAAATTGTGATTAATAAAAAAGTATACCAGTTTCATTTAAGGACCAAAGGATTGACAGCCATCCCATATATATTGCAAAATAGTTGGGAAGACATTTTTGACGTACCGATTCCATGGCATAGTGTTAATGAACTGATACGCAAAACGACGCCGGATTCAAAACGTATAATTTTTCAATTTAAATTATTATACAAAATTCTTGCTACCAATAGAATGTTATTTATATGGGGGATACAATCTTCCTAGCTCTGCAGATTTTGCTGCGAAGAGACAGAATCATTAGATAATTTGTTTTGGTACTGTCCATTTGTAGCTTGTTTTTGGACACAGGTCCAGGAATAGCTAAAGGATTGCAATATTTACCTGGAGCTAACCCTGCAGATAGCATTACTGGGTGATCTGAAAAGTCATAGTCAATCGATCAATAATATAATAATATTTTTGCAAAAATGTTTATTTTCAATTTACAATCTGTAGAAACAATGAGAATAGAAGGGTTCAGAACTTTTGTAAAACAGCACAGTACAGTTGAAAATATATGGCAAATAGAAATCCAATATGGATGGTGTTAAGAGATAGATGGGAGGTGTTGAATGGAGCTGAAGGATGGGACTAATAACAACAACTAACAACAACAAGATAACTCATGTAAAGCATACTGTGTCCATAATAAGTATATAGGTTATAGGTTGAGAGCTTTTGTGAAAGAGCACAGTTAGAAAGATATGGCATATAGAAGCAAACTGGATGGACATCATGAAAATGATCGGAGAGGTTGAGGAAGTTCAGTAGTAAAAACAAACAAAATAGAATTATTGTCAAATTGACTGTGTCCATAAAATGTATATAGTATGTATAAGCTGTCAAATAGGGTCAAATACTTAGTTCCCTCATTAAAATGCAAATCAATTTATAACATTTTTGACATGCGTTTTTCTGGATTTTTGTGTTGTTATTCTGTCTCTCACTGTTCAAATAAACCTACCATTAAAATTATAGACTGATCATATCTTTGTCAGTGGGCAAACGTACAAAATCAGCAGGGGATCAAATACTTTTTTCCCTCACTGTATGTATGTATGTGTGTGTGTATATATATGTGTGTGTGTGTGTATATATATATATATATATATATATATATATATATATATATATATATATATGCGAGAAAAAAAACATGGGGGATTGGAAGTGATGCAGACTATTACATTGATGGAAGTTACAATCTATCTGCAATATTAAAGCTGATCTACACCCTAAATAATAAAAAAAATATATATACTGTCTATGTAGCACATGCATTACATCTGTATAGACAATTATACCTTGAATATTACCACTGAAAACACAAACTTGCTAACAGGTGTTCAATTAATTAAAGCACTCCAAAAGAAGCATACGCTAACATGGTGAAGTGAGGTGTTATTCTCAATGTCATGAAGTGTATCCTAATAAAATACGAAATTGTAAGTGGATGAGGGGAGTTTCCCCTATACACTTTAAAGCCCTTTGAGGTCTAGTGCAATATAAACTGAGTGTAAAAAACATTAAGAACACCTGCTCTTTCCATGACAGATTGACCAGGTGAAAGCTATGATCCCTTATTGATGTCACCTGTTAAATCCGCTTCAATCAGTGTAGATGAAGGGGAGGAGACAGGTTAAAAGGATTTTTAAGCTTAGATACAATTGAGACATGGATTGTATATATGTGTGCCATTCAGAGGGTGAATGGGCAAGACAAATAATGTAAGTGCCTTTCAATGGGGTATGGTAGTAGGTGCCAGGCGCATCGGTTTGTGTCAAGAACTGCAACGCTGCTGGGTTTTTCACGCTTAACAGTTTCCCGTGTGTATCAAGAATGGTCCACCACCCAAAGGACATCCAGCCAACTTGACAACTGTGGGAAGCATTGGAATCAACATGGGCCAGCATCCCTGTGGAACGCTTTCAACGCCTTGTAGAGTCCATGCCCCGATGAACTGAGGCTGTTCTGCGGTGCAACTCAATATTAGGAAGGTGTTCCTAATGTCTGGTATACTCAGTGTGGTCAACCCATTCCCACTGCATCTGAGAAGAAAAACCCCCAGAAATCTTTACTTCGACATGGATTTGAACACAACTACTTTTAACACTTACTTGTGTGTGTGTCATCAGGGTTACCTGCTTTTAACACCCACCATTCCTGAGGTATCGGAAAGACACCCTGCTCCATCGCCCTGCTTCTCTCAGAATGTGGCTTAAAGTTCACACCCTATCACTGTGATACACACACACCTCAAAACACATTCCATGGGCGTACAGACAACTGTGCGCTCCCACAGCTTGCCACTAACCATGACCACCAGCTCTGACACACACACACACGTCACTGTCATAAGTTGAGGCAGACTAACGCTGGACATCAATGCGCAGTGTGCACTGTCATCTCCCCTTTCTTCTCCCCCGCCTCACCTCTCCAGAACATCAGAGAACATTCCGTCTAGGAATAGGTAGTAGTCAGACCACGGCAAGAGACTACAGAGCTCTTATACAACATGTACCATTTCCCCATGCCCTGCCAAGCACATACAAGATGATGGACGACAACAAGAGACAAATATCTTACCAACAGAAAGTAACTAAGTGCATTCTAAAGGGCTAGTGTGTCTGTCTGCATGTGTGTGTCTGTTAGGGGTATGACGGTACACGTATTCGTACCGAACCGTTCGGTATGGGGATCTCGGTTTGGCCCAATCTGTGAACCCGAATGAATACATATCAAAAAATAAATACACTAGGCCTATAGGCTATGCATACACTGCGTTGTATGCCTCGGGTAAATCTGAGCTGAAAAAACATTTCAGGCTATTCCTTTAAAACTAGAGCCTATGCGCAAGTTGTAATCAAAATTCTAATCTTAATTGCAGCATTTCAAACTGTACTATTGTGAGGCGCAGCCGGGAACTATTTCTGTACGATGGCGAGTGGTGGTGTCGATAAACCAGTAGGATTCTCCATCATTGTTAAAATTTTGGCTTCAAAGAAGATTATAACGGTGATGGACAGAGAAAGTATGTTGCCACTGCTCAACGAGAATAGCCTATGCAGCTGCCAATGCCTCAGACATGTTGATACATTTACGCCACCATCACCCCAGTATTCCTACCACTGGAGAAAGATGGAATCACAAAATAACAACACAACTTCATCTCCCCTCCGCATTCAAGCAACCCTTCGCAGCTGATTTTGACTGGGCCAAAGAAGAGCAATAGGTATGTTTACAGCCACGGCTATGTGCCCATTCTCAGTGGTTGAATAGAATAAGGGGTTTCAGCACCTCGTGAAAGTGCTCGAGTCACGTCACGAACTTCGCCCTCACACCCATTTCAGCAAACCGGTAGTACCGACTCTATAGAAGCAGGCTAAAACCAAAGTTGTCAATGAATTGGCAAATACACCCTGTGTTGCACTTACTACAGATGGATGGACCTCCAGGGCTACAGAAAGCTACTTAACAGTGACAGGAAATGAGAAGTAGCGTGCTACAGACACGCCCCCTTTCTCTTTGTAAAAAAACAACAACATTATAGCATAGGCCTATACAATGTCTGAGCTATGTTTACATATGGATTTCACACGTACATTGCACTTAATTTTTTGTGTTGTTGTTGAGTAATCGTGTGTTTTCATTTAAGAAACGTATTCCTGATTGTGCTCTCATCAGGCATTATATGACTCATGATCATATATTGAGTCAGGATTACCAACACTTGGGATTTTCTTAAATAAACCAAAATTAGCTACAAGTAACTGGTGGCATTTAATTTTCCCGCTGTACGAAACAGAACCGTGACCCCAAAACAGCAATATGTACCGAACCGTGGGGTTGATGAACCGTTACACCCCTAGTGTATGTGCTCTAGCCGGCTGGGTTGATGTGCTGTAGACGTGCCTGATCTGTTAAGCTGCTGTGTTAAAAGATACAACTCTGCTCACGTTCCATGGACAGGAGAAATACCAACACTGACCAGGCATACAAACAACCCTCCTCTCTCCAGCGGCCGGCCAGCCAGCCTGTCTGTCTGTCCAGTGTATCCAAAGTAGCACCCCCGCTCTCCACTGACGGCACTAGCCAGAGACATCGCTATATGCCTCTAGTTAATACGACAACACTGGCTACTCCCTCTGTCACTGACACACTCAGTGTGCTACAGTCATTACTACATTTACACCTGTAATAGCCTTTGTTAGCAGTTGATGTTATTCTTCAATAACACAGACCCCAAAGCATATCAGGAGGAGAAAAATGTATTTATTCAAAGAGAACAAATCATAGTTGTTATGCTGGAAAGTAGATGGTAGATGTCCCTGTCCTCAATGTTACTCCACTGAACAAAAAGACAGGATGTAGTTTATACCCAAGCCTGTGGTTGACCAATTAGAATTCCTTGCAATAAAATTGGGCCAACGGCCAAATACCAAGTATCCCGTTTCAGGCTCAATGTATAGACTATTTGGACCAATGAGACTTGCCACATGTAGCTATGAGTCCCTGGTTGGAACCCCTACACCGATTCTAAACAGATGTTGAACTGAAAAACTAAAAAAAAAACTATTTCCATTGATCGTTAATTCCCTCTTGACCTCTAGTCCTCTGCGCTGTGTATTTATCTTAGGATATTCTTACACCTTCAAACTCCATTTTAGCTTTCAGGAACCAAGCACACATCTACCACAGGCGAGCATTTGAAGGGTCAAATAAGCTTTTTCCTGTGTGTGTCTGTAGCTACGTGTGTGTGTCTGTCTAACCTCTTGTAGCCGTGTCTTGTCGTAGTCCAGGCGGTGTTGGTAGATGCACTGACTGAGGAGAGAGAAGAGTCTCTCCAAGCGCTCCACGCTGTAGCCTTCACTCCTCTGTACCACTGTGTCCAAGAGGGCCTGGGAGAGGAGAACACTCACGTTATACAATGTTATTATACACAAGAAACATCAAGCTACCTCTAGAGAGGACACATTCAAGCCATAGACACACACAAGCAGAACACAAATATAGCATTTAATTCAACAGGGAATATAAACGCATACCCTGCATTCACATCACGTGTGCAACTCTCTCGCACACAGAGAGGTCAGCTTTATTCAAAAGCAATTAAGATCAGAGGGACAGCTAATTAAGGCTAATCATAATTAGCTCAGTGTTTACATTTGTCTGCTACTTTAATTAAGCACTTTGGACAGTCAAAGACCCTTTCAATTGACCTGCTCAGTCTCAGCTTGCCACAGTGAGTGTGTGTGTGTGTTTCAAAATGCAGACTGAAATAGCAATCACACAGCGACTAGATTTACAGTCATTAGACGGCAGGAAAAAAAGAAACTGATGGGGAATGAGGTGTGTCAGAAGAACAAAGCGTGGGCTCCTCAGGATTATTAAAGTGAGGGGATGTCTCTCTTTCAACTGCAAATAATGACACAGTGACTCTCTGAACACTTGGAGAGAAGTATGACTCTCGTTTACCCATCTATCTCACTACTGTATCTATACTGAACAAAAATAGAAATGCAACATGTAAAGTGTTGGTCCCATGTTTCATGAGATGATACAAAAGATCCCAGAAATGTTCCATATGCATAAAAAGCTTATTTCTCGAATCTTGTGCACAAATTTGTTTACATCCATGTTAGTGCGCATTTCTCCTTTGCCAAGACAATCCATCCACCTGACAGGTGTGGCATATCAAGAAGCTGATTAAACAGCATGTTCATTACATAGGTGCACCTTGTGCTGGGGACAATAAAATGCCACTCTAAAATGTGCAGTTGTGTCACACAACACAATGCCACAAATGTCTCAAGTTTTGAGGGAGCGTGCAATTGGCATGCTGACTGCAGGAATGTCCACCATAGCTGTTGCCAGAGAATTTAATGTTAATTTCTCTACGTCTTTTAGAGAATTTGACAGTACGTGTAAACCGGCCTCACAACCGCAGACCACGTGTAACCACGCCAGCCCAGGACCTCCACATCCGGCTTCTTCACCTGAGCGCAAGGTCTTGACCTGACTGCAGTTTGGCGTCGTAACCGTCTTCAGTGGGCAAATGCTCACCTTCGATGGCCGCTGGCATGCTGGAGAAGTGTGCTCTTCACGGAAGAATCCAGGTTTCAACTGTACCTGGCAGATGGCAGACAGCATTTATGCGTCGTTTGGGCGAGCGGTTTTCTGATGTCAACATTGTGAACAGAGTGCCCCACAATGGCGGTGGGGTTATGGTATGGGCAGGCATAAGCTAAGGACAACGATGGCACATTTATTGATGGCAAATTTCAATGCACAGATACCGTGACAAGATCCTGAGGCCCATTGTCGTGCCATTCATCCGCCGCCATCACCTCATGTTTCAGCATGATAATGCCCTGCCCCATGTCGCAAGGATCTGTACACAATTCCTGGAAGCTGAAAATGTCCCAGTTCTTCCATGGCCCGCATACTCACCAGACATGTCACCCATTTAGCATGTTTGGGATGCTCTGGATCGACATGTACGACAGCGTGTTCCAGTTCCCGCCAATATCCAGCAACTCCGCACCACCATTGAAGAGGAGTGGGACAACATTCCACAGGACACAAATCAACAACCTGATCAACTCTATGTGTTACACTGCATGAGGCAAATGGTGGTCACATCAGATACTGACTGGTTTCCACGCCCCTACTTTTTTTTTAAAAAGGTACAGTTGAAGTCGGAAGATTACATACACTTAGGTTGGAGACATTAAAACACATTTTTCAACCACTCCACAAATTTCTTGTTAACAAACCATAGTTTTGGCAAGTCGGTTAGGACATCTACTTTGTGCATGACGCAAGTAATTTTTCCAACAATTGTTTACAGACAGATTATTTCACTTATAATTCACTGTATCACAATTTCAGTGGGTCAGAAGTTTACATACACTAAGTTGACTGTGCCTTTAAACAGCTTGGAAAATTCCAGAAAATGATGTCATGGCTTTAGAAGCTTCTGATAGGCTAACTGACATCATTTGAGTCAATTGGTGGTTTACCTGTGGATGTATTTCAAGGCCTACCTTCAAACTCAGTGCCTCTTTGCTTGACATCATGGGAAAATCAAAATAAATCAGCCAAGACCTCAGAAAAAAATATGTAGACCTCCACAAGTTTGGTTCATCCTTGGGAGCAATTTCCAAATGCCTGAAGGTACCACATCCATCTGTACAAATAATAGTACGCTAGTATAAACATCATGGGACCACGCAGCCGTCATACCGCTCAGGAAGGAGACGCGTTCTGTCTCCTAGAGATGAGCGTACTTTGGTGCAAAAAGTGCAAATCAATCCCAGAACAGCAGCAAAGGACCTTGTGAAGATGCTGGAGGAAACAGGTACAAAAGTATCTATATCACAGTAAAACGAGTCCTATATCGACATAACCTGAAAGACCGCTCACAAAATAGATGGCATCATGAGGAAGGAAAATTATGTGGATATATTGAAGCAACATCTCAAGACATCAGTCAGGAAGTTAAAGCTTGGTCGCAAATGGGTCTTCCAAATGGACAATGACCCCAAGCATACTTCCAAAGTTGTGGCAAAATGGTTTAAGGACAACAAAGTCAAGGTATTGGAGTGGCCATCACAAAGCCCTGACCTCAATCCTATAGAACATTTGTGGGCAGAACTGAAAAAGCATGTGCGAGCAAGGAGGCCTACAAACCTGACTCCAGCTCTGTCAGGAGGAATGGGCCAAAGTTCACCCAACTTATTGTGGGAAGCTTGTGGAAGGCTACCCGAAATGTTTGACCCAAGTTGAACAATTTAAAGGCAATGCTACCAAATACTAATGCATGTAAACTTCTGACCCACTGGGAATGTGATGAAATAAATAAAAGCTGAAATAAATCACTCTCTACTATTATTCTGAATTTTCACATTGTTAAAATAAAGTGGTGATCCTAACTGACCTAAGACAGGGAATTTTTACTAGGATTAAATGTCAGGAATTGTGAAAAACTGAGTTTAAATGTATTTGGCTAAGGTGTATGTAAACTTCCGACTTCAACTGTATCTGTGACCAACAGATGCATATCTGTATTCCCAGTCATGTGAAATCCATAGATTAGGGCCTAATGAATTTATTTCAGTAAAATCTTTGAAATTGTTGCATGTTGAGTTTATATTTTTGTTCAGTGTATACGTTCCTCCTCCTTTTCAACCAGTCTCTCCACATCTAGGCCTCTGCTTCTAATCTCATCCCCTTTAGTCCTAAAATCCCTTACCTTTCGTCTCTCTCTAAACATCTCCCCCTCCCGCCCTCTCCCCTCCCTCTCCTGCCCTCTCCCCTTGTTAGCCCGCTGATTTAATCAGAGTGCTGTGCCTTTGTCCAGTTGCCCAGGCCAATCGTGACAGCGGGGGTAAGTGGTGTGTGTGTGTGTGTGTGTGTTGCTAGCGGACCCCCTGAGGTAGTGAGCTCCCAGCACACAAAGGAGCAGTAATCCAGCCTGTTAAAAGGGGGCTGTGACACGGACCATTAAAGGCACCTCTCCCCTCCACCATCCTTCCCATCACAGCACATCTCTATCCCCCTGTCCTCTCTCAGCCTCTTCTCCCGCTCTCTACCCTCTTTCATTTTGCTGATGCACCCTCTAAGGTACAGAGAAGGAGGAGGAGGAACAGAGAAGAGGGAGAGAGGGGGAAAGCAAGAAAAAAATATGAGCGAGAGAGCGAAAGAAAGAGCAAGCGAGTGAACGAAACAAAAGACTACGGGAAGAAAACGTGTCATAGCCGCGCCTTTAAACTCTGTCCTATCAGCTCAGGCACAGCATGCGGCCAGGCAAATGACTCCATCAGTGTGCCAACTGCACACACACATACTCAAACCGCCAACTCTACATGCACACACGTCTCCCCACAAACACACCCAACACTGCAGACACACACCAACATTGCAGACACACACATACATACAGTGGGGGAAAAAAGTATTTAGTCAGCCACCAATTGTGCAAGTTCTCCCACTTAAAAAGATGAGGCCTGTAATTTTCATCATAGGTACACGTCAACTATGACAGACAAAATGAGGAAAAAAAATCCAGAAAATCACATTGTAGGATTTTTAATGAATTTATTTGCAAATTATGGTGGAAAATAAGTATTTGGTCAATAACAAAAGTTTCTCAATACTTTGTTATATACCCTTTGTTGGCAATGACACAGGTCAAACGTTTTCTGTAAGTCTTCACAAGGTTTTCACACACTGTTGCTGGTGTTTTGGCCCATTCCTCCATGAGATCTCCTCTAGAGCAGTGATGTTTTGTGGCTGTCGCTGGGCAACACAGACTTTCAACTCCCTCCAAAGATTTTCTATGGGGTTGAGATCTGGAGACTGGCTAGGCCACTCCAGGACCTTGAAATGCTTCTTATGAAGCCACTCCTTTGTTGCCTGGGTTGTGTCTTTGGGATCATTGTCATGCTGAAAGACCCAGCCACGTTTCATCTTCAATGCCCTTGCTGATGGAAGGAGGTTTTCACTCAAAATCTCACGATACATGGCCCCATTCATTCTTTCCTTTACACGGATCAGTCGTCCTGGTCCCTTTGCAGAAAAACAGCCCCAAAGCATGATGTTTCCACCCCCATGCTTCACAGTAGGTATGGTGTTCTTTGGATGCAACTAAGCATTCTTTGTCCTCCAAACACGACGAGTTGAGTTTTTACCAAAAAGTTCTATTTTGGTTTCATCTGACCATATGACATTCTCCCAATCCTCTTCTGGATCATCCAAAGGCACTCTAGCAAACTTCAGACGGGCCTGGACATGTACTGGCTTAAGCAGGGGGACACGTCTGGCACTGCAGGATTTGAGTCCCTGGCGGCGTAGTGTGTTACTGATGGTAGGCTTTGTTACTTTGGTCCCAGCTCTCTGCAGGTCATTCACTAGGTCCCCCCGTGTGGTTCTGGGATTTTTGCTCACCGTTCTTGTGATCATTTTGACCCCACGGGGTGAGATCTTGAGATCTCCACTGATAATCTCCCAGATCGAGGGAGATTATCAGTGGTCTTGTATGTCTTCCATTTCCTAATAATTGCTCCCACAGTTGATTTCTTCAAACCAAGCTGCTTACCTATTGCAGATTCAGTCTTCCCAGCCTGGTGCAGGTCTACAATTTTGTTTCTGGTGTCCTTTGACAGCTCTTTGGTCTTGGCCATAGTGGAGTTTGGAGTGTGACTGTTTGAGGTTGTGGACAGGTGTCTTTTATACTGATAACAAGTTCAATCAGGTGCCATTAATACAGGTAACGAGTGGAGGACAGAGGAGCCTCTTAAAGAAGAAGTTACAGGACTGTGAGAGCCAGAAATCTTGCTTGTTTGTAGGTGACCAAATACTTATTTTCCACCATGATTTGCAAATAAATTCATTAAAAATCCTACAATGTGATTTTCTGGATTTTTTTCCTCAATTTGTCTGTCATAGTTGACGTGTACCTATGATGAAAATTACAGGCCTCTCTCATATTTTTAAGTGGGAGAACTTGCACAATTGGTGGCTGACTAAATACTTTTTTCCCCCACTGTACATTCAATACACACACCTAAAGCTATGCACACACACACCCATCTCCACACACTCACCCATCTGTAAACACACACTGCCAACTCAATACATACACTGTTAACACGGCTGCGTTCCCTGCATGTTTCAGCCCATTAAAGGCAGCTAACAAGGCCACTGACAGGCTGTCTATGATCCTACGAATATAAGACTGAACCTGAGAACAGGACCCAGTTATTACCAACATCTCTATCCTGGAACACACACACCCTACCAACTATCAAAACACACACACACACACGGTACTCCTAGAGCCCAGCCCTTTGAATGTCTGAAATGGAGACCAGGTCACAGCTTATGACAGGGTACAGAAATAGCCACAGCATGGGGCGCGAATGCTTTGAACTGGAGCACTGATGACTTACATTTATGTGAGTGTTACATTGGCATATAAATGTCTCACCCTGCACAGCAGGTGGTTTTTGTGTATAAATGTTAGCGTTGATACTTAACACCAGCCCTTAATCAGTGATGATCCCTTACTGGTAAAGGACATTTCACACTAAACGTGTGATAAGTATTAACCTCACAAAACCTTTAGAATGCTTATGAAAGGGAAGGAGCAAAAACATCATGGTCATGTGCTGATATTATGAGATCACTGGACATATGTTGTGATAGCTATATTAAGTGTGATTGACTATCTGGTTTTTCCCGTCTCTATCAGGTCTTGGTGCAATGCAAGGCCCTTTCGTAGCGTTTAATATGGAGGACCGTGTGCCAGTGTTGATCGCAACATCAGGAGCAATGCTGAACACTACTCTTAATTGGTCTTAAGAGCTGTATTGGTGTCAGGAAGGCTGCAGATGGCTGTGTAGGCTGGTAGACAACACACAGATGAGCATGCCGCTCTAGCCCTGGGATTTAAGTGCAGAGAGAGAGAGGGTGGCAGAGGGGGAGAAAGAGAGAGAGGCAGAGAGAGAGGGATAGATAGAGAGAGAGAGACAGGGGGGCAGAGAAAGCAAGAGGCAGAAAGAGAGTGGGGGGAGAGAGAGAGTAACTGGATGCGCCACTGTATCCATCACTACCAGTGATGTTATTAGGCTTTCACAATCAGTCTTTAAAAAGAGAGCAATTCACCCCCTCTTTCCCCTTTTAATTTTAATGTAATCTTTTCTTACCCGTGCTTAGGATAAAATATAAATTATACACGCTTTAAGAGATCAAATCTACAAAGTTTAAAATGAACGGAAAGAGGGAGGGAGGGAGTGTAGTGGGTGATTTGCAACTTCTGCAACACGAATTCCAATCTCCAGAAAGGAATGAAATGCCTGGGGGACACTGCCAAGTCACACGGACTGGGAGCGCGAGGACACACACACACAAAGTTGCGTAACATGTGGCACATATAAAGTATCACAAGGCTGACACATCAGAGGGGTCCAGGGTCTGTATCATGACTAATGTGAATGTGACGGAGGAATCAAATTCTGCAGCGCCCTCACTCGCTACTCTCTACAGACTCAGACAGACACACGAGGCTAGCATCCAAAGCAAATGAGCCAAGTGACTTCAAGTTAAAGGCCATCGTCAGACCTTCAACATGATGGACTGAAGGGGTAGGATGATGATGTGATGGAAAGTGGGCCAAGTGACGGTGGTGGTCTGATGATGTGGTCTGGACATGACCGACAGGTGTTATGAGGGACGTGATGAACAGGTGTCACTAGCTACCAACTCAGTGCCAGAGTCACTGAAAATGAAAGGCTATGATGGAAAGACGTGATAGAGCGTGGGGCAGGTGGTTGGTCTGGTGATGTGATCTGGACATGATCAACAGGTGTTAAGAAGTTAATCTGGTACGGACGCTAGGCTCATGGTGAGGGGGCTTTGCTGTGTCATGGGCATGGTGTGGGGAATAAAATATGGTTGACACCTTTGGCAACCTTCATCTACAGACCACCTCTTCTCTAAAAATAAACGTGTTGCAGGTGTTTCAAAGAGAAGTACAGAGCAGTAAAACACATTGTGTCTCAGACAGAAGTGAAACCGGCTTCTCTCTCTAGCTTGGAGGTCAAATTATTCCATTGACTCCAGTAGTGCTTGGTGAGATTGTACTCAACAGCATAGTGCTTTGGTGGGGGGGGGGGGGGGGGGGGGGGGGGACTGACTGCTGGAGTTGTTCTCAGCTCCAACTGTAACAGACTGACTGCTGGAGTTGTTCTCAGCTCCAACTGTAACAGACTGACTGCTGGAGTTGTTCTCAGCTCCAACTGTAACAGACTGACTGCTGGAGTTGTTCTCAGCTCCAACTGTAACAGACTGACTGCTGGAGTTGTTCTCAGCTCCAACTGTAACAGACTGACTGCTGGAGTTGTTCTCAGCTCCAACTGTAACAGACTGACTGCTGGAGTTGTTCTCAGCTCCAACTGTAACAGACTGACTGCTGGAGTTGTTCTCAGCTCCAACTGTAACAGACTGACTGCTGGAGTTGTTCTCAGCTCCAACTGTAACAGACTGACTGCTGGAGTTGTTCTCAGCTCCAACTGTAACAGACTGACTGCTGGAGTTGTTCTCAGCTCCAACTGTAACAGACTGACTGCTGGAGTTGTTCTCAGCTCCAACTGTAACAGACTCACAAGTGGAGGTCAGCAATTAGGCCTAGCCCTGTCTATAGCAGTGTGTCTATAGCAGGATTCTATTAGATTTTTTGGGGTGTTAATGTTGGACATAAGACGGTAAAAACACCAGCAAATCAGCTCCAAGTGATTTAGATTTTAGAAATCTGTTCGAAAGTATTCCCACGCAAAATAGAGAGATATGTAATCATATACAAATGTAAGCAAGGTTTGAAATTATTATGTTATAGTCAAATGTTATATCTGTTTGGGCTTCTTGCGGTCAATTAGCAGTCCCCTGACCACCGCTCAAGAAATAAATCGTCCCGCAGCTCAATCTAGTTGACGATCCCTGGACTACAGCTATCTTTTATCTAGGACAACTTTGGACTCCAGTCTATTCTCCTCTTGTGCTTTTCTCTCCCTCTTTTCTCTCATCTCCTTCCTTTCGCTCCCTATTTTTTCCCCTCCCACTCTTCTCTCATCTCCAGTCTTTTGTCAAAACCAAACAGCCGCAGGCAGTTAGGCCCAATCTGACAGGACATTTGCAGTGTGTGTGCTAGTCACTTACAGAGAGTGGTTTTGGACTGTGTGTGTGTGTATATATATCGGCACACATGTTTGTTTTCATGATGTGGTGCCGTAGCTGGTTGCCGATGTGGATGGAAGCCTTCTCAAAACGACAGGTCCCCAAACGGAAAGCTGTTATCACATGCAAATGGCCTCTCTGTCAAGGACATCAGTGGGAATGAGTACAAATGAAAAGGAAGCACCCCAAAAGTTATTTATTTCTATTGACAATCAAAGCGCTTTGCACCGGCCATTAAGCCGTTTTCTTCCCCTAGCAGGCATTCAGAATGGCCGCCTCCCTCCCTCTCCGGATAGAGCCATGCTGTTATTAGTGTTGTAAATGGGCAGAGACAACAAACTGCAAATGGGGCCATTTCTGTGGACGGACGGCTCTGGGAAGTCTTGACATGCCGTAATAGTCAGGCAACAGGGGAGAGAGGAGTCTTCAGTGTGACAGCCAATGAATGCACACTGGGCATTTGCAGCTGCGTAAAACAAATCTAAGGAAAATTTCCCAGCCAAGTCTTGTAGCCCAGCCCGAGTGTTCTTTGGCGAGGTGGCTAGAAATAATACGACTAGAATTGATTCCCTGATAGATGATGATTCTGCTGCAATCTAGGGTACTTACAGTGCCTTCAGAAAGTATTCACACCCTTGACTTTTTCCCAGTGTGCGAATTATGGGGACGCTAGGAGGGGCTCAGCTACCCTGAATGAGACATTAGCTCCCCTAAATGCAAAAAAAGTCAAACTTCGGGAGGATGTAAATAATGCTAATTTAACCATTCTCCTATTTGTTTAAAATTCAGGGGTAAATATGTTTTACAGTGGCAAAAATGAAAATAAAAACATCCAAATGAAACCAACATCCCCCCCTCTCTCATGGTTTAAACCATTTATTTCTACGTAGCGGCAAACCTTCTCTCTGTCCACGGCGCTGTCCACTCAGTAGTGCTGAGCTTCTTTAAACGCATAGATTTTCCTTTGTACTTGCTCATCTTGGCCATTTGTTTGCCATATGCCCTTGATTTAAAAAAAATTGCCTTTATTCCAATGCTTTAGATTTATTCATTGATTTATCATTGTTTGCTTTTAACAGTCAGCTGTTTAGAGCGCTCATTGCTTTGTTTTTCAGGTGCACGCGGGTAGCCTATCGCTGTTCTCCGTGCCGTCCGTGGCCAGAAGTAGTAGACCAATTATTTAGCTTGATTATTTTCTATCAACATTTGTTGTTTCCTGGATCAGCTGATGATGGTTGCCAATATCACTAGCATTCCATTTCGCAATGGCTACATTATTTTGGATTTGTGTGCCCATGAGAACTGTTTTCACGGCGAAACATAATTAAATGTTACTTAGGCATAGGTACACTTACAGTGAATTTCTCCAAAATCAAGGAATCGTATAGGGTTTAAATTCAATGTTCTAATTCAATTGTTAAATGCTTAATAATTACAAATAACTCTGTCATAAATGTCATTAATGTAAGGAAAGAAAGGTAGTGTTTTATGTCACACGATCTGTGAAGACTCCAAGCATTCAACTCATGAATTATGGACAACTCATGAACTAGGGTGTAAAACATGTTTTGATTCAACTTGTGTATTATATTGAATGTAGGCTACCTGTTCTGCGTGTGTTCATATGTGTAACATTTCCTCGGCTGAGAGGGTAGAGTACTGGCAGTAGTATAGGCCTAGCAGAGGGTAAACGTAACTAAATGCAGTTTACCCACCTTTTTCAGAAAGGTGGGGGGGCAGTGCAAATAGTCCGGGTAGCCATGATTAGCTGTTCAGGAGTCTTATGGCTTGGGGGTAGAAGCTGTTGAGAAGTCTTTTGGACCTAGACTTGGCACTCCGGTACCGCTTGCCGTGCGGTAGCAGAGAGAACAGTCTGTGACTAGGGTGGCTGGAGTCTTTGACAATTTTGAGGGCCTTCCTCTGACACCGCCTGGTATAGAGGTCCTGGATGGCAGGAAGCTTGGCCCCAGTGATGTACTGGGCCATACGCACTACCCTCTGTAGTGCCTTGCGGTCGGAGGCCAAGCAGTTGCCATACCAGGCGGTGATGCAACCAGTCAGGATGCTCTCGATGGTGCAGCTGTAGAATTTTTTGAGGATCTGAGGACCCATGCCAAATCTTTTCAGTCTCCTGAGGGGGAAGTATGCAAGCGCGAGAGTACATGCATTGCACTGTTTGGATTATTTTGGAGTGGACGAACATGCACAGGTAGCCTACTTTTTTTTAAGTGATTTGTTTGACAATCAGACGAAAGCATCATGACTGGTTGTGTTCATGCCACATTAAATAGTAATACATATTTACTGTTAAATTATGTCTTTATTATTAGGCCCATAAAAAAAGGATTCTCAGGGTTATCACCATTCGGCCAATGGATCAACAACATTGTAGTTACTCCACAATACTAACCTAATTGACAGAGTGAAAGGAAGACTGAAAAATATTCCAAATCATACATCCTGTTTGTAACAAGGCACTAAAGTAATACTGCAAAATAATGTGGCAAAGCAATTCACTTTTTGTCCTGAATAGAAAGTGTTATGTTTGGGCCAAATCCAATACGGAGTACCACTCTCCATATTTTAATGTTATGGGTATGCTTGTAATCTATCTTTAAGGACTGGGGAGTTTCTCGGGATAAAAAAGAAACGGAACGGAGCTAAGCACAGGCAAAATCCTAGAGGAAAACCTGGTTCAGTCTGCTTTCCACAAGACACTGGGAGATTAATTCATCTTTCAGCAGGAAAATAACGTAAAACACAAGGCCAAATCTACACTGGAGTTGCTTACCAAGAAGACAGGGAATGTGGCTGAGTTACAGTTTTGACTTACATCTATGACAAGACCTGAAAATGGTTGTCTAGCAGTGATAAACAACCAATTTGACAGAGCTTGCATACTCTTTTCAACAATAATTCAAATGTTGACCAATCCAGGTGTGGAAAGCTCTTAGAGACTTACCCAGAAAGACTCACAGCTGTAATCTCTGCCAAAGGTGATTCTAACATGTATTGACTAAGGGGGTTGAATACTTATCTAATAAAGATTAAACAATTTATTTGTATTATTATGATAATTTATTTTTTTACAAATGTTAGAATCTGTCTTCCACTTTGACATTAAAGTATTTTGTGCAGATCATTTACAAAAAATTACAATTAAATACATTTTAATCCCACTTTGTAACAACAAAATGTGGAAAAAGTCAAGGGGTGTGAATACTTTATGAAGGTTTTTTCTGTCCGTCTGTGTTCAAGTGCCGATTATTAATGAAACAGAGGGGTTGGGAGTAATGCAGGAAGCCAGTGCTTCACTAGTTTTTTCAACCTGGTCCTGGGGATGTGCACATTTTTCTTCCAGCTCAGCATTAACATGCCTGATTCAACGAACCACCACGAAGTTGGCTATTAAGTAGAATCAGGTGTGTTGGTGCTGGGCTGCAACAAAAGTCTGCACACTATGTAACTTTCCAGGAGCAGGGTTGAAGAACACTGCTGGAGCCAAACCATTTCAAGAACCTCAGTGTGAGGACTGTGAACAAACTAGCAGAGTTTTAGCTCATTCCAAAAGGGATTCCAGGTGCCCTGCCATCCAAGTTAAATGTCAGAAGTAATGAGACTTCTCCAATCAATGAATATGAATTTAAGAGAAGATGAGAGGAGTAGCGGAACGTTCCACACCATTCCTCTCCTAATATCAGGCAGCGAGCCAATCCTACCGACCACTGTGGAGATATCAGCCTTAAACGCACTCTCACCCCGCTCACCGGAAATTCAATTTGTTCCGTAAACCAGGTGGATGAAAAAGCAATTAGTCACAGTGCCCTCTTTTCACGATCTGTTTCTTAAAGATATCTCCTCTTCTTTCCACCGCCTAACAAATAAGCCTCCAGATTAGTGATGTGTGCGTTCACAGGGAGGGAGTGTTCCCACAGTTCGTGAAGTCTATCACCCACGACTCGTGGTTCTGAGTCTTTATCGGAAGCGTCGGTCCACCGCGACCAGTCTGTGACCAGACGGAAGGATCAGACCTGTCAATCACTTTGAGAGACGGGAACCGCGCACCCCTCAATCTCTGCCGCCACCCTGTGGCGATGCTAACCACAGGGAGATAATGGTTTGATAGCAGGGGATCGTCGGGATGTCGCAGTGGGATGGAGGGCTAGAGAACGGAGAGATGGAGCGCGTGACACAGAAACACTTCCTTTACACCTATTAGATCAGACCTATATTGTATCTTCCTGTTCTTACCAGGGTCGTTTGGGTGGTCGGTTGGTAGAGAGAAGAGTCCCTAGGATAAGAGGGAGTGAAGAGAGAGCACGGCTCCAATTTATACCCGGGGTATTAGGTGGAACCTAAGTGTGACCGTGCAAAGTGCCTGGGAATCATTTCACATATTCACTTTTTATTCTGTCAATCTATTTATTCAGAGACCAACTTGACGGAGCGGGTAGTGTGGAGAGCAGAGAGCGCAGAGAGAGCATCTCATGTTTGAGTCATGTCCTGGCTGCATTCTTAAAATGGCCGTATGGAAGGAACAACACCTGTTGATTGAGTGAAGACGTGGAGATGCCCTGTTGTCTGCCACTAATATTGGAGCCTTCCTCTCGGATGATGAGGATGTAAAGTGTCTCTCGTTGCACGCACGCACGCACGCACGCACGCACGCACACACACACACACACAGAGTGAGGGCAGACTTGGGTCTCCAACAGAGCACGAACAAGAGGAGACTATATTAGGCTGGGAAATCAGGAGCATCCATCTGAAAAGGGGGAGAGTGACACCAGCAGACCCAGAGAAGACCTGACAAGCCTGGGGAGGATTAGGGGCCAGTCCCCCATCCACCCCCAATAACTTTTTCTCCTTCCTTCAATCCCCATGTCATAGTCTACCCCACCCCATCCACCCCTCATGCTCCTTTCCTCTGCCCAAACCTCACTTCCCTCATCAGCTGCTCAACAGCATTGACTAGGGCCCATTAAAATGACTGGTGATTTTCTCCCATCTGAGAGACAGAATTAGTCTCTAATGTTGATTTAACGGTAAAAATGTATTACCATTTCATGTGGCTCTGGGCTTGGGAGCGACAGAATGAAGGGATGAAAGGAGAAAGGGAAGCCTTGGAGATCAGCGTGTAGTGTGGCTGGGATTAGGAAGGGGACATTGCCAGTTATAATGTGGCTAGGAAATGACTGGAGGGATGGCACAGCTTAAATGGTCTCATTGCAGATAACATGAATGGATGAATGGCGTTTTCACAAGACCGTAAGCTGTGGAAGGGCATTGTGCTAAAAATACAACACACAACCACTATTACACAACTCATTACTTTCATACTCGGGGATGTGTTCAGCATTACTTAGAAAATAATTAGGAGGTAATACACACACACACACACCCCATCACTTACCGTGAGTCTCTGTTGATCGACCACTAGTGCAGGTGGTGGATGGGGAGGGATCTGTGGAGGCTCCTCTGTCCTGTCAGTTGATCCCTTCGACTGCTCTGATTGGCTCATTCTGCACTTCCTCCCCTTGGACCAGCCTGGAACAGGAAGAGAGAACAGGTCAATGATACAGCCCACCTACAATCTCGCCTTTCACCTATATGTTTATCACCATCATTTCTCCAGGTAGGTTATTAGAACATACTGAACCATAGCATATCCATACACCAAGGCTTGTTTGGATGGAAGCAAAGGCCTGACAATCAAAGATGAGAAGAACAGCTGGCCCGCTACATTCAGAGCCTGTGATCTGTTGGCTTATAGTTTACTGCTACCATCGTTAGTGGTAATACACTGTCTGTAGGATCCAAAAAAGCCACAACAGAGGAAGCAGAAATCTCCCCCGGCCACCTCTACTACCCCAGTCCTTCCAAATCACCCAGTAGCGCCGGGTTTCCAGCTGGCCCCTGATAATCCACAGCCCTGAGTCGTTAAATCACACACAGGCCTTTTGGCTTGTCCCAGACACCACACACACACACACACACGTACTGTAACGGTGTATTGTGTACGTATGCATGCACAGCCACAAATGCATGTGCACACACACACATGCTGACAAACTCACAGACCTATTGGCTTGTCCCAGACACTACACGCCACTAAATTAATGGCCAACGGTTCAAGCCCAAAGAAAAAATTATGTGAGAGAGAAAAAAATAAATCTTAAGGGTGGTTTTGGATAGTCTACAAAGGTACAAGACCTCAGAGACTTTTGAGGGTTTCATTGAAATATGCTGTCTGATAGTATTTCATATTTCACATGCCATATGTCTTGGATAATTCACGCCCTGACGTTTTACAAGCAAACCCAGTGTAAATCAAATATCTTGGATGACAATCAACAAAATGATTATATTTCGGTTCTTTTACAGTGAATGAAAAAGTAATGCGAGGTTAGGCTGACCGTGTTCAAATCTGTGGACGTGTTTCTAGTCCGTCTGGTGCTCTCGGGGAAAGATCAGAACTTGCCATCTGTACTCAGAGTAACTCAAATTAACCCACTGACATGATGCATTATTTAAACGCAAGTCTGAGTTAGACATGCATATATCAAGTCAGGATTCTACCCCAAGACAGCTATGGTGCACTAGGAGTAGGTAAAAGTTAGCCACAGATAACCCCTCAGTACCTTCTCTGTCCTGCTCCTCCTCACCCGTCTCCGTGTCTCCTGTCCTCCCGTCCTGAGGGCGGCGCTCCTGAGTTCCTCTGCTCACTGCAGAAGCCGACACGTCCTCTTCCCCCTCTGACCCTTCACCTTTGACCTCTGTAGGCCCCTCTCTCTCAGAGCTCTTGAGGGCCTGGGAATCCAGGCTGTCCATGGACTCATTCCCGTTCACACACTCCTCCTGAGGGACAGGGGGTGCTGTGGCCGGCGTGGGGGCTGACAACTGCTGCTCAGCCTTGGACTGGACCTCCTCGTCTTTAGGCTGGACCTCCTCAACATCCATGGGCTGGAAACCTTCCTCCTTAGGCTTAGGATCATCAGGCTTGGCTTGGGGGTTCTCGCTTTCGGCTTGGGAACCCTCATCTTTAGACTGGATCTCCTTCTCCTGGGATTGAGGCTCCTTGTTTTTGCAATGAGAATCATCACTTTTACATGGGGAAGACTCACTTTTAGACTGGAGGTCTCTGTCTGTGGATGTAGAATTGGCTTTGTCGTCTGTAGCTGATGTCTCTTCCTCCTTGGGCCCTGTCCCTGTGCTGCTTTCCCCTTGGGTCTTGGTCCTCTGGCCCCTAGGGGCCTCGGGGGGCTCATTGGAGCTCTCCTCCTCCGTGGAGATGCCGTGTGTGTGAGGGTTTGTGTGGTGTCCGTTGGGCTGAGGGTCCATGGTGTCACAGGAAGACTCTTCATCCTGAGTCAGACAGGAGTCGCTGGGTACCCCCATTTCCGGCTCAGGCTCCACACCTTCATCCTCCTCCTCTTCCTCCGTTCCCTTCTTGTAGTTCTTCTTCTTCCTAATGATGCCCCGCCCCCAAGATGGACGCCGACGCGCTTTCCTCTTTATGTGATCTGGAAGCAGAGAGGAAAAAAACCAATTTGTTTAGTTCAGTCACATGGAACACAGAACTTATGCTAGTACAACCACACCAGGTTCTGCTCGCACACACCAGTCTTAACTACACAAGAGAGCTACAGGGGGTGCAGGCTTTTGTTCCAGACCTGCTCTAACACACTTGATTCAATTAGTGGTCTAAATAGAAGACCATGATTAGTTGATGTGAAGACATGGAGAGACAGAATCCTTACAAATGGACCTTCAATAAGTGGTAATTCACTGGACTGACATGACAGTGGACCAACTAATACCAAGCAATTGAGTTGCCCTGTTAATGCTCCCTGCCAGGTCTTAAATGCTAGGGCGGCATCAGATGTCCACTCCATTGCGGTGGTCTGTGTGTGGCCTGTGTTCCACACGGCACAGGAAGGCGAGGTTAGTGGGCCCCACAAAGGGAGGCTGTCTGGGAGTAATTGCTAGGTGGATGAGGCAGGCTACTGAACACACACACACACAGAGAGACAGAGACAGCGAGAGAGGGAGAGAAAGCTCAAATCTCTAATTGAAAACAATTGAAAGCAGCTCCAGATGTGCCCCATATCTCAGAGCCAAACTGGATTTGCCCACCATTTCCTCTCGCGGGGGGGAGGGGGGGATTTCCTATTACTCTCCAGTCAAAAGGTCTGGCATAACGGAGTTGCCACCCTCTCTATGGTGCAGAGGTCCTGGTGGAAATTACAGTATTTCTAGTGTGTGAGATGTTGACTGCATTTCTCTCTGTGGTTGTAATCAGAGAGCACTGGAAGAGAGAGGAAGAGATGAGGCGAAACAGAAAGGGAAAAGGAAAGAGAGGAAAGCAGAGCAGGGCTCCTGCAGCAGGGACATGACTGATGGAGGGATAGGGGGAGAAAGAGAGAGAAAATGTCTGCCATCTGTAAAAGAGCAGTAAAAGTGTCACAGGGCGCTGGCAAGAGTGCTTGACGCAGTGAAACTTCAGCAGGGTCAGATTCCACACGCTGTCCCTTTCAAACCACAGCCACAGGGTGCGTGTGCCAGGCCAACAATGTGTGTGCATGGCGATGAGGGTGTGTAACGTATCAGCCCCCCTGCCCAGACAAGCGTTTGAACCTGGCCATGAGTGGAATAGGCCGGGCCTGTCAGTTCAGTCAAAGCCTCCCCCATAAACCCATGGTGAGTTTTTGGTCTCAAAGGCATCAAAAGGCCTTTATAGAGGGAGATCCTCCAACAGTCACATCAGACACATGCTAGCTTCCTCATGATTATCTGTCTATCCTAATGTTAAGAAGACATTAATCTTCTCAGTCTCTGAACTGTACACCATCACTTAACCCTTTACACTCGTACATGTATACTGGTTGAAAATGGCAGATTAGGGCACTGATAAGAGCCTAAATTGGAACACAGTGGCTGCACAGCAACATTCTATAAATGACGTAAGAGCTCAGGCTCAGTGCTGTACAGGTTTGGAATGACAGATATTCTGAACTTGAGCACCGCACAGGACAAGAAGTCACCCCCATTTCTCCTGCAAATTGGGCAACATTTGCTAATTTTTTGTTGTCTGAGTGAGGGAAATGCTGTAAATTAAGTACAGCGCATTCGGAAAGTATTCAGATACCTTAACTTTTCCACATTTTGTTACGTTACAGCCTTATTCTAAAATTGATTAAATTGTTATTTTTTCTCCCTCATCAATCTACACACAATACCCCGTAATGACAAAGCGAAAACAAGTTTTCAGAAATGTTTGCAAATTTATCAAAATTAAAAAGGAAATATCAAATTTACATAAGTATTCAGACCCTTTACTCAGTACTTTGTTGAAGCACCTTTGGCAGCGATTACAGCCTCGAGTCTTCTTGGGAATGACGCTACAAGCTCGGCACACCTGTATTTTGGGAGTTTCTCCTATTTCATAAGTATTCAGACCCTTTGCAATGAGACTCGAAACTGAACTGAGGTGCATCCTGTTTCCATTGACCATCCTTGAGATGTTTCTACAACTTGATTGGAGTCCACCTGTGGTAAATTCAATGGGCTCTATGCACGCATCACTTCCGCATTGGCCTAAGGATGCTTGGGCACTTCCGGATACCGGAAAAAAATAGACAGTGACAGTAGACCGTTATGATGGCAGAGATGACGTTTACAAGGTGTTTGCTGGAGTTGCCTAAAGTATCTGTTAATGATATATGGAGGGTCGTCCGGACATCCAGTACGACACCACGTAGCAAACTGGATAAAGGCTTCAAATTTTACGTTTCTTCTTTTCTTTGCAACTTTGAAGGTAATATGCTAACGCTAGCTAGCCTGAGCTAGAAGCCTTGCTTTGGTGTTTTAAGTCATGACTCCGTCCTGCTTCAGGTTAATCATGCTTTAAATAAAGTTTAATCATGTGTATATACACCTCTCACTTCATGTGTTTGTACTTTTATGTAAGTATCAGGTAAAAACAGGGCTACAAATGAGATCTCTGTGAGAGCCCACTGCTACCGCTCAATGAAGAAACTAAAGCCACCACACCAGCTGAGAGTAGGACTAGATTAAGTGACACGTTCCGTTCAACACGTTTTACTCGTTTAATGTTACCACAGCTTTGATTGCCATTGCTAAGAGAACACTTTAGAACTTTAGTGGTTTTCACGATAGCTGAACAGTGGTAGCCTAATACAGACCAGGGTAGCTGAGTGGGAATTGCCATGCTTTGTTGTTGGGTCTGTTGTAAACAAATTTTGGTTTGAAATGTAAACAATAATGAGATGACTACTTTTTCCTGACTTGATGACTGCAATGACAGTAACATATTCCACTCAGCTATTCTTCAAACTGCTGATGTTCTACTCAAAACTGTCCTGTCATCTTTACTTCTTTCTTTATAAACATATGGCCCAACTTCCTTGCCTTTGTACTTGATGTTTCTACTTTTCAAGAGGAATTAGGAGCAAAACCTTCACTCTACTGTTGTTATTGGTACTAGGCTACAATGTTGCACCACTCACCTACTGCTCTGCCAATACTGTTTGAAGGTAGGTAAATGGCACAAGACAATAGGTAAGTGGTGGGAGACAGTATAGCCAAGTGGTGCAAGACAGTAGGAAAGTGATGCAGAAAGCACAAAAGTGACACGAGACAGTAGATAAGTTGCTTCCACCAGTAAAAAGTAGAAAGAACAAGTTTTGCTCCTACTCCTGCTGCTGTAGACCCTCGTCTTTCAAAGCCCATTAAATTATGCTTCTGTGTATTTCAGATGACATTGCGTTATTCACAGAAAGTTGTGCTTGTTAAAAGCTACTGTTCCTGTGTGGCTGGGTGTGGGATATGCAATCATTTGGTTGCATTACTATATCAGACTGCCCATTACTCTGAATGTGGCATGTCTGTCGTCCCTCCTGTACTTTCGTACATTTACACATCATCGTGTTATAAGTCAATACGAAGTATTACAAGTAAAAACATTAACATAAACATTAAGATAAACAACAACAACGACGAAAATTAACCGTTTCGGATGTTTTTGACGACAAGCATTCAATGCTAGCATACGGTAGCACAGCATTCTACGATAACCGGAGGTTTACATCCATCCTGAGATTTAACCGGAAATACGTCATGCTCGCCTGTGCATATCGCCTATTGATTGGACATGATTTGGAAAGAAACACACCTGTCTATATAAGGTCCCACATTTGACAGTGCATGTCAGAGCAAAAACCAAGCCATGCGGTCGAAGGAATTGTCCGTAGAGCTCCAAAACAGGATTGTGTTGAGGCACAGATCTGGGGAAGGGTACCAAAACATTTCTGCAGCATTGAAGGTCACACTGGCCTCCGTCATTCTTAAATGGAATAAATTTGGAACCACCAAGACTCTTCCGTGAGCTGGCCACCCGGCCAAACTGAGCAATCGGGGGAGAAGGGCCTTGGTCACCGAGGTGACCAAGAACCTGATGGTCACTCTGACAGAGCTCCAGAGTTCCTCTGTGGAGATGGTAGAACCTTCCAGAAGGACAACTATCTCTGCAGCACGCCACCAATCAGGCCTTTATGGTAGAGTGGCCAGACGGAAGCCACTCCTCAGTAAAAGGCACCTGACAGACCATGAGAAACAAGATTCTCTGGTCTGGAAACAAATAATCAACTATTTGGCCTGAATGCCACGCGTCACGTCTGGAGGAAACCTGGCACCATCCCTACGGTGAAGCATAGTGGTGGCAGCATCATGCTGTGGGAATGTTTTTCAGCGGCAGGGACTGGGAGTCTAGTCAGGATCGAGGGAAAGATGAATGGAGCAAAATACAGAGAGATCCTTGATGAAAACCGGCTCCAGAGCGCTCAGGACCTCAGACTGGGGCAAAGGTTCACCTTCCAACAGGACAACGACCCTAAGCACACAGCCAAGACAACGCAGGAGTGGCTTCGGGACAAGTCTCTGAATGTCCTTGAGTGGCTCAGCCAGAGCCCAGACTTGAACTTGATTGAACATCTCTGGAGAGACTTGAATATAGCTGTGTAGCGACGCTCCCCATCCAACCTGACAGAGCTTGAGAGGATCTGCAGAGAAGAATGGGAGAAACTCCACAAATACAGGTGTGCCAAGCTTGTAGCGTCATATCCAAGAAGAATTGAGGCTGTAATCGCTGCCAAAAGTGTTTCAACAAAGTACTGAGTGAAGGGTCTGAATACTTATGTAAATGTAATGCTTTGTCATTATGGGGTATTGTGAGTAGATTGTTGAAAGGGGAAAAACAATTTAATCAATTTTAAAATAAGGCTGTAACGTAACAAAATGTGGAAAAAGTCAAGGGGTCTGAATACTTTCCGAATGCTCTGTATGTACCTCAGTGCCGCCGAGTTCGGAGCTTTGTTGTAATGCTATACTGTAAATGCACTGACCACATCACCGCACAGGCCAAGGCTGCTGTCTGTGTCTCCACTGATTAATCATGATCCATACTGCATTAACCCCTTTGAACCATTAATATTCTGCTCCCT